ATAATGTACAGTACATTACTCTTGCGAACCATTGTAGAAAGGACCTGACTATATATTGGATATACTATGGTGTTTCGGTCCCTCAGATGTCCCTCAACTAACTCTCAGATGACCCGCGACAGTCCTTCCCGTGAGGAAACGACTAAAATCTATCCAAATTAGAAGTTGTTAGACAAAAATCTACCCAAAATCCGAACAGTTCGAAAACAGTGCCAAATCTTGCAGATCTCGCTGACGATGTCAGCATGTTGTCTAAGAAATGACGCGCAAGTGTCGTTTACGAACTATCGTTTCTCGCCTTCCTCGTTGGTACAGTGCTGTAACCCCCCGTATATAACACCCTATGGTGGATATAATAATTCATTAAAATATAGTGGCTTGGAAAAATATAATGCCCATTTGTTATGTATAATTCATTTTGAATCTAATTGTTTCTAGGCTTATACATGCATTGGGTTTCTATTAGGGAGTTTTGCGCTGTTTGGATGAGAGGATGGCCGTACCAACGTGTCGAACTCGGCATGGGCTATATGATTTGTGGCCAATCCATGACGGCCGCAGCTACCAACAGCCAGCAGACTGCTGCCATCGGCTGCCAGCACTGCGAGTGCACGGCTAGGTACACTAGATGCTGCCAGCGCAACACCTGCAACGGAATCTGGCATCTCAAGATGCCCTCTGGAAGCTTCTTGACCAGACCATCGCATGCCAGCATGCGACGGTGTTTTTTTGCTGTCAAGAACCATGCGCGGCTCGGGAAGGGGGTCGGCCCACGTTTTTTATTAATCCGTTTCTTGTCGTTGCGTCATTTTAGCGTTCCAGTATTGTCTTCCCAGCAGAAAACCCCTCGCAATGTCCAAGCTCTCTAAGAGAGACTCGAACACTAGTCCGCTGAGGCGGTTTTGTAGGCAGAGATTCAGCCATGGCGGCTCGTGCTGTTAGCGGCCTCTCAGTTTTGCGAACCCATCGTCCTCCCCACGATAGTCCATTTCTTCTCCGTCTGTTTTCGTCGATTCCTCCAGCACCACCTGCGCCGCCAGCACCGCCTGTGCCTCCCGCGCCTCCTGCACCTCCTACCCCACCTGCTCCTCCCGCACCTCCCTATCCATCGTCTCCGATTGCTAGTCATCCAGAGGAGTGGGACAACGACTGGCAGGATGAGCATGAGCTACACGGGGAAGATGCTGCCGACGGAGAGCCAGAGCCACCCCTGACACTTCCTCGTGTCATTGTTCCATTTTTCCCTCAGCCCATTCGTCGCCCCCACATGCCACGAGTTAACCGGTATGCTGCACCTCCCTCCCCGAGAAATCGCAGGACCATGCACAAGAGAGTTGCGCGCACAGTGGCGGAAAAGCTATACTGGTTGGCCCATCTCGACTCCGACCCGAAGCTTTCGAATCGCAAGCTGGCGAAGATGGACGAGGTACGTGACTGGAAGAACAACAAGGCGTGGCTGTCGGTGGCGGCGATATGCAGGCGTTGTCTCATCAGTGCTGGACGCAAGACGAAGTTCCCTGACATGGAGAAGGAGATGTACAACCGCTTCCTCTCATACCGTGTGCGCGGCTTGGCGGTGTCAGTCAATTGTCTGCAGAAGTGGAGTAGGAAGTTCATGCGGAAGCACCATCCCGGTGTCGACTAGCGTGCGTCATCCCGTTGGACCTTCCGGTTCCGCACGCGTTGGGGATTGACACGGCGCGTCAAGACAAAGATGGGCCAATGCCTAACCAGCGGTGCGTTATGTTTTTTATATGCGATATCTGGAGCAGTTTCGCTCGCGGTTTCCCATTCATTGAGCTGTAAGAGCTTAAGCATGTACACTCACATCGTATGTTGTCACCTCGTTTTGCAGATTGCGAGGCTAAAGTCGAGAAGTTCTGGGAGTTTGTGCGCCAGATGCGTACAGTCAACAAGTATGCGGACATCTTGATCATCAACTCCAATCAGACGCCCTTATTCCTGGAAATGCCCCAAGAGACTACACTGGAAGTTCGCGGTTCAAGGACGGTACATGTTCACACTGCTGGCTACGAAAAGGAGCGGTTGGCCATCATGCTGGCGGTCACTGCTGGCGGGCAGAAGCTCAAGCCGTATGTAATCTTCAAGCGCAAGATGCTCCCGAAGATTCGAGTCCTGCCAGGTCAGTATCGACTGGGTTTTGGTGTGACTAAGTGTTACATGTACCGGAGTTCGAAACTAACACTACGCTGTCTGGTTCTTTCATTATTGTATGCAAGAATCATCATCTGCGCACAGGAGAAGGGATGGATGGATGAGGACCACGTGAAGGACTTATGCGTGTTATGGTGGGCGGCAGAAGGCTCTTGTTGTCCTCGATTCCTACAAAGGCCATCTGACTGAGGGGGTAGCAGCATTGATGCGTCTCTTCAAACTACCGCGTGCCGTGATACCTAGCGGCTGCACGCTGATCGTCCAACCTGTGAACTGATGCTTGAAGGCTCATGTCCGCCGGTCCTACTCAGGTTGGTTTGAGGAGTTCGGCTGTGACTCGACAACTCCGGTAGGTGAAACCCTTCTCACCCTTGAGCTCTGCTTTTAATACGTTCTTGTTTAGCATTTGCTTTACGATGCCTTGACATGTTGCTCCAGTTCTCGCTTTGGTTTGCCTAACGCGCGCTGTAATCTCCACCCAACCATGTCTGCCTTTCAGGAAATCTGAAGAAGCCTCCGGCGGAGGTGGTGCTGCAGTGGATCGCGACCGCCTGGGAAGTGGTCCTCGCCGACCTGATACGCAAGGCTTTCAAGACCTGCGGCATCTCCATCGACCTCGATGGCCTCGAAGACGACCTCATCCTCGCCCACATGTGCGACAAGGCGGAGCTTGAGGTCATGGACGATGTGCGCACAGAGGTTGAGTCGAACGGTGAGAAGATGAACCCCCTCTTCGAAGCCGAGTTCGTAGAGTCGACCGCTGACGAGCTCTCGGAGGAAGAGGAGTTTGACGTCGCTGCCGACGTCGACCTGCCGCAGCATGCATCAACGACACCTGGCGCGGCCGACGTGGCGGGATCCTCTGCTGGCGGAGGCTGCAGCAGCTGCAGTATCAGCATCGACAACACCAGCAGCAGCTGCAACAGCGGCTGAAGCGGCTGACACTATAGAGAGCAACGATGTGGACTCCGTAGAGATGGCGCAAACGGCGGAGGTACTTGCTGGACTGGCCGCCTCCCGCTGGACTAAAGAGTACGATTGGGACAATATTGCATCCGACGATGATTTGTCGTATAACGACGTGCTGTTCACGGAGCCGGTCAATTTACCCACACGACTGTTTGAATTCAGCAAAAAAACGAAATCTCGTTGCAAACGACAGGAAAGAATTGTTGGTCTTCGGGAACCCGCATGCCGTTCGGGATGTGTAAACCCTAAACTCGCGGAATTGTTTACGAGTTTAGGGTTGATGCCTCCCGAGTCGTTTGCAGGTGCCCTAAGGGTATTAGTATTTTTTGTCGCTGCCCAAAACACTGCTTCAAATAGTGGAATCTAGGCGATAGTTATTATTTTGTCTGTGTGTTGTATTGCACATACCGTAATCCCCCGTATATGACACCCATCTGAAAAGTTACACTATGGGTGGTTAATACGGAGGGGAGCTTATGATATGGTGCATTTTTTAGAGTACCCGCTTTTCAGGTGACGAATTATACATAACCGCCCCCCCCCCCCCGCTTTTATTGCTTGGATTACACTGAACAGATTGTACATTCAACCATATGGATCCTATCACTACATCAATGTTACAATACGCTTGAATTTCTACTCATTGTTGCATACCTGAATAGCATCCAGAAGGCCTAGATCATGTCCTAGGGCTTCCAGCTAGCAATTCGAGACATCATTCTCTACCTAATACTCCTCGTCATCCTCATCTCTAGCGTGCCAAGCCTCTGTAAAGAAAACGACATGATGTACGTGCAGATTCGGTAATTGTTTTGGATTTGGGTAGATTTTTGTCTAACGATTTTAGATTTGGGTAGATTTTAGTCGTTTTCTCCCCTCCCGTGGCCTATGCTTGCCCCGCAGCTAACCCTCAAATGGCCCTTGTATATCCTATTTTTTTAGCCTAAACATGACCCACCTTGGATCCCATATGTGTCCTGACGCGCATGTCCCAAACTGAACCTGCAAGTGACCTCGGGGGTACATCTGGGACACATCCGGGTTAGAAATTTCGGATGTGTGATAATTTCCGAGGGCGAAACATCACTAAACCAAAAATGCGACCCCACATACAGTACCACGAGCCCAATGCGACAAAAGCACGACTGGTGTGGCGCTTTTTTTTTTTCTTGAAATCGAGTCTGTCTAGATTTGTGGCAAACGTTGCTTTGCGTTGAATTTCCTTAGGTAGGCGCTATTTGTATACCCAATTTTGTTGTTTCGTGCTGCCCATGCATTTTATAAATGGACCTGCACGCTAGCCTTAAAGTTTCTAGCCCTGTTATGTAGGCATTTGCTTGAGAAGTTGTCTGATCAAAATAGAAGATGCCCCAACAGTTTCTGAGGTTGCCGAGCTTGCGAAATTGCAGATTTCAGTCGCGAAAGAGATGGGGGTCTGACAGTGGGGTTTCACCTAGGGCATGGCAAACATTTTGAGGTGTCCAAGCTTGCAAGAGGGCACATAAAAAATAACGATTTCATTTTTTGCAACCAACCACAATCGTCTGGGTAAACAGTTTTTTGTTTATTACGTCAACTGGGGTATTTTTATCCAAGCTATCTCCTTCTCTTGGGGCGTCTATGATCTGCCCGAAACAAGCTGTTCAAAGCTCGTCCAACCTTTGGAAGTCGGTTGAAGATTAGGGAGCGGTTCCTGTAGTTCAGTTGGCAATGTTCATGTCATTTACGTAAGGCAAGTTCGGATGTCAGGTTGACTATGATGCACAAATATTTATTTCGAGGTTCGCATGAACCCCCATATCGTAACATCGCGTATACTCGCTGTGGCGAGCTCCAGTAAGGAATCTTAAAGCCCCCGTCTCATAATTCTAGGATCCGACCAAGTGTAAAATGCTTGGTACCCAGTTACGCTGGCGAATATGAAGAGACAGGCAAGGAAGTGCCTAGGACAGTGTGTTTCTTGCTGGGGGGCGAGACCAATTGTAAAACCAGCAGTGAAATATGAGAATGAGCAAGTTCACGGAAGAATGGGGACGTTGGACCGTTCGATCGTCTAGAAGTTCGGATCCGACGGTTCAGCGAGTGTATTACAAAATCTACCGCTGTAAACGAAGTGGAATTTGGCTGTGCAGGAAAATTGGTTTCTGCACCGTCCGATGTAAAACGAACCTCCAGACTGATGTGCAAAACCTATCGCGAGCCACCCTTCCCCAAACCTGTTTTTGGTTCGGGTGTTTTACCGAAACAAAATGGTCTCGCCACTTGCGTTTCGTTTTCGTCTTTTTTTTATACCTCGCCTACCAATCAGAGTTTGCCTGCTCCAACCAGGTGTAAAACTCTAGTAATTATGAGACGGGGGCTTTAATTCCTTACAGCCATGCTACTTCGGACACCCGCTTAGTGTTCCTTGGTGACAACCATTTGGGCGCTTGGACAACCTGCTATCCGTGATTTTTTAGTTAGCTTCACCGACAAAATTCGTCGACACTGGAAAACTTCCCACCACTCCAGTGACGCAGGAAAACGGGTCATAAATGTTTGGGAGCATCGGGTGCTGGTGTGCCCGCCATGGTGTGCTGTTTGGCGGACAGCCAACCTCATCAGCCTTTCACCCTCCGCCTTCCGTCTTCCGCCTTCCTCCCCTCGGTAAACCCGCCATTTGTCGCAGGAGTTTTGCAGGTTTGCCCCGCACGTGCATTGCGCGCAACATGGTTTGTTTTCATGGAGGAGGTGCGGCGGTACTAGGACCACCCTAGGACCTCCAGCCTGGCGGAAGCTTGTAGATGGCGTGTTACAGTGCGGTGCTTGCTCGTCTGGAAACGTTTCAGAGGGTTAGTCTTGGACAGAGCTTGTTTACAGTAGCCCGACGTCGAAACAATTTCGAATTTGTCAAATCAACGTCGAGCACTTTGAACACGTTTCTGAACAAGAAATTCACGTAACAATAGCCAACTTCGAAAAAACTTCACAGAGATTATACTCTGAGCACGCTCCAGAAGCATGACGACGGGGTCCGTTTGTCTTGTCTCCCTCAGCAACCTGTCCCGCCTGCATGTCTGTGACGTGACGTCACATCCCCCAGACCTAAACTTCCCTTGCCGGGTGCAGCTCGTTTCGTGCGGCTGAATAATTCTATAGACCGGTCGACTACGGTGTGAACTGTAAAAAATATGCAGATCTCCCTCGGATAGTACAGTTCAATTCAACCGCCCTCGACTCGACTGTTGTACAGCTCGCACCCTTCCCCCCTCATGCTGCTGCATCCAAACCAAACCCTAAACCAAATCACAAGAAGCCTAGTTATCAGACAAATCCTCCGCCATCTGCGCCAACAATGGCTTTCGCCGGAAGTTCCGGCGCACGTGCGCACCACGCGCGCTCGCCCTCGGCGCCCCTCGCAGTCATCCCAGCGGAGCGATTCGCCCTGCTGTCGCAACCCGCGTCGCTCGCGACTTCCGCCGCCTCGCCCCCCGTGATACCACGCGCCGGCGGTGCGATCAGGCGCGCGGAAAGCGCCTCGGACTCAACGTCCCTGCCCTCCAGCCCCGCGGAAGCGGCGGCTCGTGGAACCTTCCCCGCTGTCACGGCGACGGGCGCGTGCGCGGCGCAAACAGGACGAACGACGGACCCACTTTCCCCTCCTGCTACCGCCGACGGCACCTGCGCGGTGGGCCAAACCGGCGACCATGGCGGCGCGGCATCAGCGCCAACGCGCGCGGATTCGAATCCGCCAGCGAGCCACGGACTATCGCCGCAGCAGCGACAGTCTAGTTTTGAGGCGCCTCAAAGCGCGCCAGCGAGCTCTGGGCTATCGCTGGAGCAGCTGCGACATCTAGTGGCTCTCACTAACGCAAACGACGGCCCGCGCGACATGGCCTCCGCCTTCCCGTACGCGTCGTCGTGCGACGGGCGGCCCGGCAGAAGCCGCCTGTCGATTAACGCGGCGCAGCGACGACTCGACTCGTGGAATCGCGCGCGAGAGCCGGTGGTTGAAAACAGCGCCGAGCACATCCGCGCGCAGCGCCGGCTGAAGCGGAGCGGAAGCGCGCCCCCGCTACTACTAAGATCCGCAGCTGGGGAATCGGCGGGGGAATTGGCGGACGAATCAGCGGGAGGATTGGCGGGAGAACCGGCGCGGGGCGGAGACTCTTCCGACTGCCTAAGGCGGCCAGCGCAGCCAATGGAGAGCGTCGTTTCGGAGGCGCGGAAAGTGGCGCTCCGCCGTTGGCTCCGCCGGTCGCGGAGTGCGCACGTGCTGGGCGGAAGAGACACGGAAGCGCTGTGGAGCGAAGCCATGACGGCCCTCATCTGGGGCCGCGGCGGCGCCGTCGTTTATAGACGGCCAGCCGGCAGGAGTTTACAGGCGCCGTCGCCGCCGTCGGGAGCGGATTTGAAGTCGTCAGGAGGGGCACAGTTGGCGAGCGACATCACACGGCGTTCAGCAGCAGGAAGCGCAGCAGGAAGCCCAGCAGGAAGCGCAGCAGGAAGCGCAGCAGGGAATGCTGTTGGGAATGGTCGCATGGTAGCACTAGGGGGGCGATATGACAGATACATGCAGATAGCGCCAGCAGCAGCAGCAGCAGCAGCAGCAGCAGCAGCAGCAGCAGCAGCAGGTGGGCATGTCAGAGCAGGGGATCCCAGAGTCTACCCTAGTGAGCGATTCTGGAGAACGCAAACCCCGGGCGTTGTGTCAGAGCAGAGCAGAGCAGAGCAGAGCAGGATACAGCAGCAGCATCAGCTGCAGTTGCAGCAGCAGCGGCAGCGGCAGTGGCAGCAGCACCAGCGGCGGCAGCAGCTTTGGCAGCAGCAGCAGCGGGAGGTAGCCAGGGACCCTGTTACGTCGGTGTTTGCCTGGGCTGCTGAGCAAAGAATGGCCGCGAGGCGGGCAGAGAGGACTCAGCCGTGAGGGCGGGTAGTGATTGCTTGGGTGCGGAATCACGGAATCACTCCATGTTGTGTTGCGCAAGGGTTGACCTGACTCAGAACACTGGTGCAAGCAGCAGTGGCGGCATGCCTCTGTAGGTACCGACCTCCCTTTCACCCAGTAGAGTTTGTGGGGCAAGCAGCGCTTACTTGCTCTGTGGCCTTCACCCTGATACGTACGACCATGCTGCAGGGTCTCATAATCAGTAGTAAGCTAGAGATTAAGGTGCTGCCCCAAGCCCACTTCTCCTGTCACTGTTGTCTGATCCCCCCTTGGTTTCTTTTCCTTCCCAGTCCCCATCCCTCTCTCCCCTCTTCTCCTCTTGTGCATCAGACCTTGAGATGTGGCCGACAGCTGGTATACTGCATGGTAGTGCGCTAACCTGCGCGAATATGGAATACATTATAGAATCTACACTTGATGTCGTAGAATACCCCAACATATATATTGTGAACTACATCTCCTGGATGACAGGACAGAAGATGGTCAAGCTGACTTGGCCGAGCAGGAGTGCACCCTACAAGCTATTGTACAAGTCATAGCTGCCAATATGCAGGCATTTGCTACCATTATTTAGCTCCTGCCCTCACCGTGCAGGCATCTGCTATCATTATGTTGTCCCCTTGCTCATTGTGCAGTCATCCGCTGCAGGTAGGCCGCGAACGAGAATCTCTTCACAACAGGGCTGGAGGGCAGGGCCTCAGAAGTCAGGCCAAAAAGGCCTGAAAGCCTGTATATCAGGGTGTTTTCTAGGGCATACCTGTCAAACATGTTTAGTTATCATGCTTGTATAGACTGTATAGGGTCATCTTCTAGAGAGTACAACTGTTAGGTATATGTTTGTGTACTCTCTCTCTCTATTTATCAATTTCACTGTTTGATATGGTATCACGCGTAGGTAGGATCCCCCCCCCCCCCCCCCCCCCTCTCACGCTTCCGCTCGCCCCCTAGCTGGGCCCCGTCGTGCTCCTAGCCCCGTCGCGACCCTCCCTAGCCCCGTCGCGACCCTCCCTAGCCCCGTCGCGCCCCTTCCTGGGCCCCGTTGCGCCCCTTTCTGGGCCCCGTCGCGCTCCTCCCAGGCCTTGTAGCGCCCCTCCAGGCCCCGTCGCGCCCCTTTCAGGGCTTCGTAGCGCCCCTCCAGGCCCCGTCGCGCCCCTTCCAGGGCCTGGTAGCGCCCCTCCAGGGCCCCGTCGCGCTCCTCCCAGGCCCCGTAGCGCCCCTCCTGGGCCCCATTGCGCTCCTCCCAGGCCCCGTCGCGCCCCTCCCTAGCCCAGTCGCGCTCCTCCCAGGCCCCGTAGCGCCCCTCCTGGGCCCCTTTGCGCTCCTCCCAGGCCCCGTCGCGCCCCTTCCCGGGCTTCGTAGCGCCCCTCCAGGCCCCGTCGCGCCCCTTTCAGGGCTTCGTAGCGCCCCTCCAGGCCCCGTCGCGCCCCTTCCAGGGCCTGGTAGCGCCCCTCCAGGGCCCCGTCGCGCTCCTCCCAGGCCCCGTAGCGCCCCTCCTGGGCCCCATTGCGCTCCTCCCAGGCCCCGTCGCGCCCCTCCCTAGCCCAGTCGCGCTCCTCCCAGGCCCCGTAGCGCCCCTCCTGGGACCCATTGCGCTCCCCCCAGGCCCCGTCGCGCCCCTACCTGGGCTTGGTAACGCCCCTCCAGGCCCCGTCGCGCCCCTACCCATCCCCGTCGCCCCTGCTCGGCCCCGTCGCCCCTGCTCGGCCCCGTCGCCCCTGCTCGGCCCCGTCGCGGCCTATCGGCCGCGTGGCGCCCGCCCGGCCCCTGTCGCGGCTGCCCGGCCCCTGTCGCACCTGCCCGGCCCCTGCTCGCCCGCCCGGCCCCGTCGCCCCTGCCCGGCCCTGCTGTGGCCTGCCCGGGCCCCGTCCCTGCCGCCCGGCCCCGTCGCAGCCGCCCGGCCCCGTCGCAGCCGCCCGGCCACGTCGCAGCCGCCCGGCCACGTCGCAGCCGCCCGGCCCCGTCGCCCCTGCCCGGCCCTGCTGTGTCCGGCCCGGCCTCGTCCCTGCCGCCCGGCCCCGTCGCAGCCGCCCGGCCCCGTCGCAGCCGCCCGGCCACGTCGCAGCCGCCCGGCCTTGTCGCTGCCGCCCGGCCCCGTCGCCGCCGCCCGGCCCCGTCGCAGCCGCCCGGCCCCGTCGCCGCCGCCCGGCCTTGTCGTGCCTGCCCGGCCCCGACGCACCTGCCCCGGCCCTCCATACTTCCTGGTACTGTCCCCCGTTCCCCGCACCACTTTGCACCCTCCTGCACTTTCCTGCCCCGCCTTGCATCGCATTGCACCTCCCTGGATCGCACTAACCGCACTGCACCGCACTGGACCGCACTGCACCGCACTGCATCGCACTGCACCGCACTGGACCGCACTGCACCGCTCTGCATCGCACTGCACCGCACTGCACTGTCCTCCACTGCCCCTCATGGCTGCTGAGCTTCGTTTTGATGTTGAGGGTCAGCCTCTGGAGTTCGAGGCGTGGTTGGCTGACCTTCGCCGCCACCTCACTGGCCAGCGGCAGGACGGCCACCCGCTTTCTGCACACCTAGACGGTATGCTCCCCTGCCCTGACCCCCCTGCTGTGCTGCCCGCTGATCCCACGCCCGCTGAGCGCGAGTCCACTGCCGCTGCTACCCTTGCCCGCTCTGTCTGGCTTTCCCGCGATGCCCTTGCTCAGCTCGCCATTAGCAATGCCCTCCCCCCCACTGAGCGCCCTCGCTTTAGAACCATTCCTACCGCCCAGGCCTACCTCGATGCTGTCATCAAGCGCTATTCTACCCCTCCTGCTGCCTCAGTGGGTCGCCTGATCCTTCCCCTGCTCTTTCCTGACCTGACGTCTTTCCCCACTGTCTCTGACCTCGCTGCCCACCTGCGCTCGATAGATGAGGCCTGGCGCGCTGCCTGCACTGATGCTCAGCTTAGAGTCCACCAGCCTCCCATGACCTCTACCCTCTACCTCCTTGCCACCCGCCTACCTGACCGCCTTGCCGCCGCCCGCGACCAGTTCCTTAGCATCCACCCTGCTGCTCTCACCCTCACCGACTTTGTTGACACCCTGACTGCCATAGAGACTCGTCACCGCTCCATAGCCCTGGCGAGCGGTACAGTACCGGTCCCTATCTTTCAGGGTTGTGCCCCCGCTCAGTGTACCTTCTCCGACGGCTCTGTCGCTGTGGCTGAGACTGCTGCTGCAGTGCAGTCCCGCTCGGCGAAGGGCCGCCGCCCCAAGGTTGGGAGCGGCGGAGGCGGCGGGGGTGCGGGTGGGGGTAGTGGTGGAGGCGGGTCGTCCGGTGCCGGTGCGGACGTGGGGACCCTGCCCGGTCCAGCTGCCCCGCTGCCTCCACAGTTGCAGCAGCCGCAGCAGCAGCAGTCGCCGCAGCCGCAGCCTTCGCAGCAGCCGCAGCAGCCGCCGCAGACGAGGCAGGCGAGTACTCTCCCACCTGGGTGGCCTGGAGCTGGTGGTGGTCGTGCGCGTGGTGGTGCACCGGGTGGTGGTTCTGGAGGCGGGCCCTGTCAGTACCAGATCCAGACCGGTCCTCGCCGCGGCTTCGTTTGCGGTAAGATCGGTCATTCTACTCCTCGCTGTTTTCGTCGCCTGGACGACCTGTTCCGCCAGCGCTTTGGCCCGGCGCCCGACCTCCCGGACTGGCACAGCTTGCTTAGGCGTAGCATTAGGATTTTTGACTTGGACATGGATGCCATTGTAGCGGCCTTGCATGTGATGTATGCTGATGACTCTAGTGTGCTTCCCTCTTATTACCCCGTGTTGCCTAGTGTAGCGGTGCCTAGCGTAGACTCCCCTGCTGCGTCAGGCGTAGGATCTCCTGCTTTGCTTAGCCTTGGTGCTTCCACCGCTTCACTGCTGCCTCGCGCGACTGCTGCGCTTTCCTTCACCTTGGACTCTGGCGCCTCCCGGTGTTTCTTCCGCGACTCCACGACGCTGACGCCGCTGCCTGTTCCCGCTGCAGTTACTCTTGCTGACCCCTCCGGTGGTCCCGTCGTTGCCCGCAGTTCCACCTCCCTTCCCTGTCCGGCGGTTCCTTCGGGCACTCTCACAGGTCTGCATATCCCCTCGTTCTCCAGGAACCTAGTTGGTGTCGGCTGCCTCCAGGACCTTGGCGTCACCACTACGTTCCCTGGTCACGAGCGGTATGCTGTCTGTACCGAGGCCGCCACTGGTGCCCCCCTGTCCACGTTCCCCCGGGACCCAGTGTCCGGCCTGTTCACTCTGGACACCGTGACCCCCCCGGCTGGAGCGCTCCCTCAGGTGGCTGCGTCTACCCAGGTTGCTGCTGCCTGCTCCTGTCGGTCCCTCACTCACCCGACTCTCCTTTGGCACCACCGCCTAGGTCACCCTGCGCTCCCGCGTCTGCGTCACATGTCCCAGCACGGTCTCGTCCTTGGTCTCCCCGGTTCGTTCCCCGAGTTTCCCTCCTCCCCCGCCCCACCGTGCACGCCTTGTGTCGAGGGCCGGCTCCGCCGTGCCCCTCACTCCTCCTCTTTTCCCCCTACCACCGCACCACTGCAGACTCTGCACATGGACGTCTGGGGCCCAGCCCCGGTCCATGGGCCGCGTCGCGAGCGCTTCTTCCTAGTGCTTGTCGACGACTTCACGCGCTACACCACCGTCTTCCCCCTGGAGCGGAAGGCCGACGTGCCTGACGTTCTCATCCCCTGGCTTGTCTCTGCTCGTGTCCACCGCGGTCTCCCTGCCTTGCGCCTTCACTCCGACCGGGGTGGCGAGTTTGCCTCAGGTGTCCTTGGTCGCTTCTGTCGTGCGGAGGGCATCACCCAGACGTTTACCCTGCCGGACTCCCCGCAGCAGAATGGGGTCGCTGAGCGACGCATCGGTTTGGTCATGGAGGTGGCTCGCACCTCCATGATCCACGCCGGTGCACCCCATTTTCTGTGGCCGTTCGCCGTGCGCTACGCCGCTCACCAGCTTAACCTGTGGCCGCACCCCCAGCGGCCGCAGGTTTCGCCGACCCTTCTGTGGACCGGGTCCCCTGGTGACGCGTCTGCGTTCCGCGTCTGGGGCTGCCTTGCTCACGTTCGTGCCTCTGGCACGGACAAGCTCACTGCCCGCACCCTCCCCTGCGTCTTCCTCGGTTTCCCCCTTGACGCGTCCGACTGGCACTTCTACCACCCGCCGTCTCACCGCTTCTTTCACTCTCGCGACGTCACCTTTGACGAGTCCGTCTCCTTCTACCGCCGCTTTCCCCACCGTGGTCCCCCGGTTACTCCCCCCCTTTTCCTGGTTCCTCCCTCCCTGGTGGTCCCTGCCCCTCCCCCCCCCCGCCCCCCCGTCCGGCCCCCTCTGGTGTGTCTCACGTCACCCCCCTCCCGTCGGTCGTCCCGGTCGACGAGTCTTCTGACTCTGGTAGTCCTCCGGCGCAGTCCTCGCCGTCTGTCCCTCCCCCGGTGTCTCCTCCTCCACCGCCTCCGCAGCCGCCGTCGCCGCAGCTGCTGCAGCCGTCGTCTCCACCGCCGCCGCCGTTGCAGCCGTCGTCTCCGCCGCCGCCGCCGTCGCAGCCGTCGCTGCAGCCGCCGCCGCCGCCGCCGCTGTCGTCGCTGCCGCCGTTTGTGGACTCTGGGGGTGTCCCTTCTGGGGGTGCAGGTGTGGAGGGTTCGGGAGGTAGCCGTCGCGCAGCTTGTTGCCCTGGTGTTGGTGTTGTGTCGCCGCAGCAGCAGTCCCCGCCTGTGTCCGCCCTCCGTCTGCTCGGCCTTCCGTCTCCTGACCCTGCGCCTGTTCCTCTCCTGCCGTCTCCCCCTCTTCCCGTCTACGGCCCCGTGTTCCCTCTGCCAGACTCGTCCCCGGCTCGTCTTCCCCCTCGTTCCCCTCCTGTGTCCCCTCCTCTGTCTCCTGACCCGACGCCGCCCTCACACGTCTGGTCTCGCCGCCCCTCTCGTGCTCGTCCTGTCTCCCCTGTCCCGCGCTCTCACCCTATGTTGCTCCGTTCCCACGCGTCTCGACCTCCCCTCCTCCCGTCTCCTCCTCCGTCTTCCCTTGTCGTTGCGTCTCCTCCTCTGTCCGACTCCTTTCGTGCCGCTCGTCCTCTTGTTCCTCGGGTCCTTGCCTCTCTCGTTACCGACCCGTCTGTTCCCGTGTCGAGTCTTGACGCCCTCGTCGCTGCGGTCGCTGACTTCGCCTCTACCCGCCGCCTTGACTACGCCACCGCTCTGGTCTCTCACCCTGCCTGTCCTCCGTCTGTCGGGGGTGCTCCTGCCCTCGGCAGTGACGTCCTGGAGGACCGCCAGTTTGAGCTTGCTTTCCTGTCCGAGGCTGCTCCCCATCTCTGTTCCATGCTGCTAGTCCCTGAGGGTGACCCAGACGCTTTCGACATCCCGACCCCTCGTACTTACGCTGAGGCGGTTTCGGGACCCTGGGCCTCTCAGTGGATAGCTGCCATGGAGCAGGAGATGGCATCTTGGAGATCCACCGGCACCTTCGTCGACGCAGTTCCCCCACCTGGGGTGAACGTGGTCGATGGCCGTTGGCTCTTCAAGGTGAAGCGCCCTCCTGGAGAGCCGCCTGTGTTCAAGGCGCGCTACGTGGCTAGAGGCTTCAGTCAGCGCGAGGGGGTGGACTTCTTTCAGACTTTCGCTCCTACCCCGAAGATGACTACTCTTCGGGTGCTGCTACACGTAGCGGCTCAGCGTGACTACGAGCTTCACTCCCTCGACTTCTCCACTGCCTTTCTTCAGGGCAGCCTTCACGAGCAGGTCTACCTGCGTCGCCCTCAGGGCTTTACTGGCACCTTCCCCCCTGGGACCCAGTGGCTTCTGCGGCGGCCAGTCTACGGCCTGCGCCAGGCGCCTCGTGAGTGGCACGACACTTTGCGTGCTACCCTTGCTGACCTGCAGTTCTTTCCGTCCTCTGCAGACCCCTCGCTCTTCGTTCGTGCTGGCTCGACTCCGTTCTACATCCTCGTCTACGTAGACGACCTGGTCTTTGCCACTGCTGACAGGGACGCACTGGCCTCCGTGAAGGCAGAGCTGCTGAAGAGACACACCTGCACTGACCTTGGAGAGCTGCGCCGTTACCTTGGCTTGCAGATCTCCAGGGACAGAGCCGCGCGCACCATCACCCTGACTCAGTCACACTTGGTGCGCCAGGTCCTTCAGAGGTTCGGCCTTCAGTTCTCCTCCGCACAGCCCACCCCTCTTCCTCTGGACCACAGACTCTCCGCTCCAGTTCCTGAGGAGTCGGTAGATCCCAGTGGTCCTTACGCTGAGCTAGTGGGTTGCCTCATGTACCTGATGACTTGCACTCGCCCAGATCTCGCATACCCTCTCAGCATCCTGGCTCGTTTCGTGGCCACAGGCAGACACCGACCTCAGCACTGGTCTGCCGCTAAGAGGGTTTTGCGTTATCTTGCAAGTACATCGGGCATGGGGTTAGTGCTAGGCGGACGCAGGCCAGTGGTCCTTACTGGACACACAGACGCTTCTTGGGCAGACGACGCCGAGACGCTCAGGTCTTCCCAGGGCTACTGCTTTAGCCTTGGCTCAGGTGCTGTCTCGTGGAGAGCTACCCGCTCCTCGTCTGTTGCCCAGTCCAGCTGTGAGGCTGAGATCTACGCCGGTGCCATGGCGGCACAGGAGCTCCGCTGGCTGACCTTCTTGCTCACTGACTTAGGTGAGCGGCCTAGCTCTGCCCCGGTCCTGTACGCTGACAACAGGGTCATGATCCTCCTGTGTCAGGAGCCTCGACTCGAGGGCAGAGCGAAGCACATCCAGCTGCGGTACTTCCTCCTGCGTGAGCTACAGCAGCGTCGCCAGGCTCGCGTAGTACACTTAGCCTCCGGTGCCAACACAGCTGATATCTTTACGAAGGCGCTTGCGCCTAAAGATCATCAGCGGCACTGTGTACAGCTTGGTCTGGTTCCTGTAGTCTCTCACTTACTCGGGCCTTGACTTTGTACTGCCCTATATATATCTGTGTGTACACTCAGACTGGACTTGTGTCCTCTTACAGTGGTTGGACTAGTAGTGCCGCCCTGTACTAGTTCTTGCCTTGCCTGTACTCCTTCTGACTGGTCTTTTAGACCCTTGTCTCAGAGGCTGGACTAGTAGTGCCACCCTGAGCTGCTTGTCTAGAACATTCCCCTATGCAGTCCAGGGGGTGTGTCAAACATGTTTAGTTATCATGCTTGTATAGACTGTATAGGGTCATCTTCTAGAGAGTACAACTGTTAGGTACACTGAGGGAAAAAACCGTCAGGATGTTTGGCAATAAGTTGGGTTTTTAGGCTTTGAGACTACTGTATGGTAAACCTGCAAGATGCACGGTGGTACATGTTGGGAGAGGCACAAAGTGGATGCGTTCACTGCACTAAGAACTAGAATAGTACATTGGATCTAACTCATACTCCAAAAGATATACAACGAGTACATCCGGACAGTTTTTTCCCAGGACAAAGAGCAAACTTCCGAACAACGTTTCTAGTACCTAGTCCACCTACTCTTGGCGTTGATCACCATCCGCACCCTCCTAGGCATGTTATCTATGGGGTTAGTGCAGACCTTTGCATGAAGCTTCTCGCACTCTTCCTGGACCCACCATTTTGCATAAGGGGGTGAGCACAAGGAAAATTGCAAAGTATTTGAGCGTATGCATAAGTATTGTACACAAATTCTGAATGAATGTTATCTCAGAGACTAGCCAAGCCGAGGGGTGGCCAAAGATGCCATTAGTTAAATGGTCCCGGCTTATCATGGGTCGTCTTCGTTGTATCGTTCTAGGGTAAAATCACGAATAGAGTGGCAAAATCTAGCATTCCCGCCACGAATCTTAGGGTAACAGAGCACGGTCGACTGAACATCCTTTCACTGTGTGAACCATGTTAAAATCCGCGGGTCTAGTGACGGGGCAGCAGTCGAAGAAACCTCGACTGTTTGGGAAGAATATCAGGGTTGAGGTCTGGTGAGGAAGAGGGGCACTCCAGAGCTACATATCCATGCTCTCCGAGCCATTCCAAGCCTAGGCAGGGAAAATGACATGGAATGCCTTGGAGAGCATAAGTATGTTGCGCTGGAGTGACCCTTTTTCTCACCAGACCTCAATCCAGATATTCTTCCCAAACAGTCGAGGTTTCTTCGACTGCTGCCCCGTCACTAGACCCGCGGATTTTAACATGGTTCACACAGTGAAAGGATGTTCAGTCGACCGTGCTCTGTTACCCTAAGATTCGTGGCGGGAATGCTAGATTTTGCCACTCTATTCGTGATTTTACCCTAGAACGATACAACGAAGACGACCCATGATAAGCCGGGACCATTTAACTAATGGCATCTTTGGCCACCCCTCGGCTTGGCTAGTCTCTGAGATAACATTCATTCAGAATTTGTGTACAATACTTATGCATACGCTCAAATACTTTGCAATTTTCCTTGTGCTCACCCCCTTATGCAAAATGGTGGGTCCAGGAAGAGTGCGAGAAGCTTCATGCAAAGGTCTGCACTAACCCCATAGATAACATGCCTAGGAGGGTGCGGATGGTGATCAACGCCAAGAGTAGGTGGACTAGGTACTAGAAACGTTGTTCGGAAGTTTGCTCTTTGTCCTGGGAAAAAACTGTCCGGATGTACTCGTTGTATATCTTTTGGAATATGAGTTGGATCCAATGTACTATTCTAGTTCTTAGTGCTGTGAACGCATCCACTTTGTGCCTCTCCCAACGCGTACCACCATGCATCTTGCAAATTTACCATACAGTAGTCTTAAAGCCTAAAAACCCAACTTCGTGCCAAACATCCGGACGGTTTTTTCCCTCAGTGTATATGTTTGTGTACTCTCTCTCTCTATTTATCAATTTCACTGTTTGATAATACCCTGATTTTTCAGGTTTTGATTTTTGTCAAACCTGAAATTTATGTGTTCCCATTTCTAAGGCCTGAAAAATAGTATGTTCTTGTTTTACTGAGCCTGACGAATCAGCCTTACTCGAAATTCGCCCTGAATCTGAATCTTATCTGTCAAGGCGAGCTTGAGCACGTGTGAGGGGCATGACTGGTCCTTGACTAGAATCACGCAAGTTCGAGGCGAGGTGGGGCAGGTGTGAGGGGCGTGATTGGTCATTGACAAAAAAATGACGCAAGTTCGAGGCGAGCTAGAGCAGGTGTGAGGGGCGTGATTGGTCCTTGACCACAATCACGGAACTTCATTGCGAGCTAGAACAGGCGTGGGGGGCGTGATTGGTCCTTGACCAGAATCACGCAAGTTCGAGGCGAGCTGGAGGTGTGAGGGGGTTGATCTTAGAAACTTGGGACTAAAGGTTCTTAAACTTAGGAGGCTAGGTTGGCTAGGTTACTAGGAAGAAGACCGCCATGGAATGGCGTGAGGAAAAACGGATCTAGGAGGTGAGAGGATGTCGAGAAGAAAAAGGGGGTTGGATTAGGAAGAGAGGGGAGTACAAGGAGGGGTTTGTACCCCCTACAGAAAGGTTCAGTAACAACCTACCAAGCCTATATTAAATTATAACTTATATAATTTTAACAGTTGATTGGTCCTTAGTTAAAATCATGCAGGAATCTGACGAGAAGAATTGTACGCAGTGAAGTCTGATCCGACCTAAGAATCAGAAACTAAAAAAATGTAGGCCTGATAAGTCAGACTAAAAAAAACAATTGGCATGAAAAAACATGCCACGCCCAAAACCCGACCCTGAAAAACATGGGCTCTCACATGGGCGACCCTGAGCAATCAGCCTCCCTAAAACCAATCTGAGGGCCTGCTGGAGGGACTGCTTCTAGGAGGGGTGAGTGAAGCTCGTGCCTCACCAACCACCATAGTCTCAAAGAAGCTTAGGACACTAACTAAACTCAGGAACCTAGCTTAGCTAGGAAGGAAGGAAGGACGCCATGGAATGGCGTGAGGCAAGTAGATCTAGGAGTAGGCAAAAGTGACGAGAAAGAAGAGATTGGATTAGGAAGAGAGAGGAGTACAAGGAGGGGTTTGTACCCCCTACAGAAAGGTTCAGTAACAACCTACCAAGCCTATTGTTGGGCTGAGAAAAGCCCTTAGGATCTTTCAGAGACTAAGTTCCAGTTGTAGAATGAGACTTGAGTAGTGCAGCGGAAGTTGAGGCAGTTGAACCCTTGTACTAGTATATGAGAACAAATGATTGATTAAAGAAACAAGCATACAGCAATATATAGAAAATAAGAAAGCAGTTGTAGAATACAGTTGCAGGAACGGTTATCGAGTCGCACAGCGACTCGATTGTCGCTTCGGTTACCATCCGCGCTGTTGTAACGGTCAGTCGCATCCTCCAGTTGCGACCCTTCGAGTCCCTTCGCGTTCTTTGTCCGTCCCCTCGTGTAACCTCCGTTGACCCGCGTACCCGTTGCGATCTTCCTCGAGTGTAGTGTTACACTTCAGAAACGTTTAAGTCCTTTGAGATATTTCCAACACTCCCCTTCGTTTCTGGAGTGCTGACGTGTTCAGATCCGGTGACGTTTGTCTGCCCGGTTAGCAGCGTGCAGTAATCGAATTTTGCTTTCGCTAATTTCTTCGTCAGATAGTCCGCGGCCATTTCTGTCGTCGGGCAGTAGTTGAGTTGAAGTCTCCCCTTCGCGATTTCATCCTTGACGAAGAAGTACCGCAGGGCGATGTGCTTGGTTCGGTTGGCGAAGCCGTCCTTGTTCGCGATTTTGATCGCAGATTGGTTGTCGCAGAGGAGTGAGAAGACGGGCAAGGTCGCGATCTTCGCTTCCTTGAGCAACTCTCGTAGGTAGAGTCCTTCCTTGGTCGCAGTGCAGAGGGCGATATATTCTACTTCAGCCGAAGACAGTGCGATTAGTTCCTGCTTGCTCGACTGCCAGGAGATAGTCCCGATAGGTTCTAGTCGGTAGATGTAGCCCGTTCTCGATCGTCGATTTTCCCTGTCTCCCGCGTAGTCGGCGTCGACGTATCCGAGTAGTCGTACGGACGGTGTTGTTACTTTGCTGTGGGTAAGCCCGGTCGTCGGCGTAGAGACGAAGTAGAGTAGTGCCCGGTTGAGCTCCTCGAGATCTTCTTGTTCCGGCTGCTTCAGATGCGTCGCCAGTTGGCTCGCGCTATAAGAGAGATCGGGTCGGCAGGTTACTGCTGCGAATAGTAGGCAGCCGAGCTTCTGTTGATACTCCTGGATTTGCTTCGCGGGGAGTTTTGCGGAGGTGCTGTTGTTGTTCCCGTAGCGGTAGGGAGTTGGGACCGTAGTCGGCGTTAGACCGAATTTCTTCGCGACGGTGCCTGCGTACTTTCCAGCGTGTAGGTAGAACGCCGAGTTGTCTTCGACGACATTCAGTCCCAGGTACTGGGTCACTCCGTCGGACACCGTGAGTGTCAAGTCTTCTTTCAGCTCCCCTTCGAACCAGGTGGCGATGTCGGTAGTGGAGCCGATGTAGAGCAGGTCGTCGACGTAGACGATGAGAAGGATAAAGGCTCCTTCCTTCTGTAGTCGATACATGCCTTGGTCGTGCGGCAGTTGTAGGAAGCCGATTCTGACGAGGCGGCCGTGAAGATGCTGCTGCCACAGCCGCGGAGCTTGTTTGATACCGTAGAGGGATTTTATCAGCTGGCATACTTTGGTAGGGTCGTTGATGAAACCGTGGGGTTGCTCGACGAAGATTTCGGCGTCCACAGGTGCGTACAGAAAAGCATTTGCGACGTCGATTTGGCGCAGTGGTAGTTTCTTCGTGGCTGCGACGGCGAGTAGGATGCGCAGGGAGGTGTGACTGGAGACTGGGGCAAAAGTTTCTGTGTAGTCGGTTCCGTATCGTTGATCGAAGCCTCGTACGACCCATCGAGCTTTGAATCGTTCGATGGAGCCGTCTGCGTTGGTCTTGATGCGGTACACCCATTTTCCCGAGAGGATGTTCTTCCCGTTGATGCTTGTTGCAGGTACCAGCTTCCATGTATTTCGGTCTTGCAGAGCCTTTAGTTCCTTTTCCATCGCTTCCTTCCATTTCGCCTTATGTTCCCCCCCTAGAGCCTGCGACAAAGTCGAGGGCTCGTGCGGAGATGGCGGCGGCGGATGCTGGACGGAGACCTAGAGGCCGAGGATCTGCAGTCCCGTGGGTGTGTGTCGAGGGGAATTTTCATTCCCGGAATAAGCTGCTTCGTCACCGTCTTCTGGGTCAGGTAAGAAGTTGGGGCCGATGCGTTCTGAAACATTTGTGTCGACCGGGTGGGGTGTAATGTAACCTTGGTCAGCGAAGTGGTAAAAGGTGTCGAGGTTGTTACTATCGAGAGGATTGTCTTCGTCGAGTGGAACAGGTACGGAACAGAAAGGGAGTGGTCCGGCAGCTTCCGAGGCTCCGGGTACGTCTTCTTCTGCTGCGTCAGCCTCGGCAGCACGGTCGGCGAAGGAACGAAGACCCGTGAAGCTGTCGGTGGGGTCGTGTGTGTTGGCAATGGTGTCCAGGTAGTGCTGCAGCGTCAGTCGCTCGTAGAAGATAACATCACGTGATGCCACTGTATTTTTGTCTTGTATGTCGAGGATTTTCCATGCGTGAAAATGTTTTGCGATCCCCAGGTATAGTCCCCACCGAGCTCGTTGAGTGAAGCGTCCTGCTCGAGCTTTGTGGGGTCTGTACTGTACCATGCAGCCGAAGACTCGAAGTAATTTTGTGCTGCCCCTTTTTTGTGTCCACAGCAGGTGCGGTGATGCGTTGTTGGGAAGCGATGACGAGGACAACAGGTTGTGCAGGTGGACTGCATGTGTCATCGCGTTTGGCCACAGTGTGGTGGGCAGTCTCATCCCCAGGAGCAGCTTTCGCATCGTCGTCTGCAAGGTCCGTTTCATGCGTTCTGCGACCCCCTGCTGCTGGTGAGCGTAGGGCAGAGACACCAGGCGTCTAATTCCTCTTTCCGCCAGATAGGTCCTGAACCGTTGTGACTGGTATTCCAGTGCACCGTCTGACTGGAAGCTCTTGAGCTTGGTTCCGGATTCTCGTTCGGCGATGGGTAGCCATGTCGTGAAGGCGTCGAAGGCTTGATCGCGCGTCTTGAGGTTGTAGTGCCAGACGTATCTTGTTGCTGCGTCGATAAACGTGATGACATAGTTGAAGTCTGCTTCAGCGTCATCTCGAGGCATGTTTAAAATGTCGCTGTAGAATTTTTCCATCGGTGCGTATGCAGGTGCGCTTGGGTTGTGATGAGATGGGAAAGGCTGGTGGGGAAGATCGGCTTCGGGGCATGTAAAGCACCGTGCGCGTGGTCGTCGAAGTTCTTGGCCGCTCGTTGTTAGGAGAGCGTTGCGTTCTAACACTTCGGCTTGGATGGTTTATAGTATTTTACTATTTGCAGGGTGCCCAAGGCGTTGGTGCCAGATGTCGTCGGGAGCGCGATGGCCGGGCGAGTGGTGGTATATGTCGGTGTTGGAGAAGAACGCGACGACTGTGGCGGGACTTCGACGGACTTCTCGTGTGATGGGCATAAGTTGATCTGCTTCGGTTGGCGGTCCTCTGATCGCTGGTGGTGGTACTCGGCTGGGTCCTGCTGCTGCTACTGCAGGTGATGGTTGAGAAGGGACACTTGCTGGTACTTGTCGTTCTTGTCTGATGACTGCTAATGCTCGTGTTCTCTCTGTTGCAGGTATGGTGTTGGAGTGCCAGAATCCGTCAGGGTCGAAGTCGGGGTCGAGATCCGGCGGGTGTGTCCAGGCGGCGAACGACACGATTCCGTCGCTGTCGGCAATACCGCGGTCGGGGACGAAGTCCAACACGAAGACGCCGGACTTCAGGAGAGCACGACTGATGAAGAGACCGCCCTTCCCATGGTAAAAACGAAACTCGTTGGAGTAGGAGTCGCACTCCAGGTGAATCCCTTTTGCCATTAGCTGGCTTACGCTTAGTAAGTTGTATCCCAAGTTGTCGACGATTAGGACCTTGTTGAGTTGAAGTATAACATTTGTCTCCATGGATTGTAACTGAACCACGCCTTGTCTGTTTGTTTTCAGGTTCTCGTTGTTGGCGACGGTGATGATGACGTCGCGGTTGAGGCGTCGCTCTCGTTGCACGAAGCGTCCGGAAGAACACATGTGTTGACCGCAGCAGCTGTCCAAGAACCAGGTATTTCGCCCGGTGGGTTCGGCGTTGGCGACCGCAGCGTATGTCGGGTTGACTTGAAGTCCTTGTGAGCGCGGTGGCGGAAGTTCTTCTTCATCTGGTGCGTAGGTGGGTGGTGATCCGGGTGCGCAGTTGTCGATGTGTACCATGCAGTTAATGATGTTCGGTGTCCCTTGTGCAGATGTGGAGGAGCGCCTTGGAGGGCTTTCTTGAGTGGAGGCGACGTGTGGGTCTACTGGACGATAAACACGAGGACGTGTGCAGTTGACTTTGGAATGTCCGGAAGTCTGATAGTTGTGGCAGAACGGCGGCAC